ATCCTTAATCATTATAAAGCAAAAATGTGTACTAGAGTCAATGTCTACCTCCTCATCCTCGACTAGTGTTTTCAGTATCATTTCAATCTCACATGTGAAAATTTCACAGGCAATGAAAGGAAACCTGGAACAAATTTAGAAGAAAAAAAATTGTTTATTCGTCAAAAACAATCAGCAAGAAAGAAAAAAAAAAGAATATCTGTTCAAAACACGTACTTGAAAGTTCGCTTCTTTTCCACATCCTCGGGAGGCTCCTCAATTATGTACCTAATCAGTTGCTCCACTTGCACTCTTTCTCTCAAGCTGAAATAAAAAGAAACCGACATTCACGAATGATCGGCATTGCCAATATAAGAGAATACAGTTTAAGACATGAAGTTGGAAGATACAAACAAGATCACAGATCATATGATGCAAAAAAAAAAAAACTAGCATGTCGTAAACAATGTGCAGAATTGGAAATGTTATATACTGGTTGGATAAAAGACATTTCAAAAAAAAAAACAAAGTCCTAAACGTGTATTTAGCCAAGCTTTCAAGGTGGATATCATAAGAAGTTAAATGATCATTCAGGTAATACATTAAACACACTTGTCACCTACCTTGACTCGTGAATAAAAAAATTGCATTTTCTTTTCTAATGAAGCATAAAAAGCAAAAGACAAAATGTGAAACATCCTGAGGGCTGGGGTTTATTAGAGAGCTTACAAATTTAAGAGTCGGCCATTAAGGGATTTACATTCTTGAATGAGTTCATCCTCGTCAAGAAGATCCTCTAATGTGAACCCATCTTTGTCCAAAATTGCCTCAACCTGGAAATTAGAATGAACAGAGAGCAAGCCACCAAAACTATTAATATTCAGCGATACAGAATTAGGTATAGGAAGACACTTAGTTACTTATATCCCAAGACACACCCGAATCCAATATAATTACAAATCCTATGCGCTAAATCCATCAACAAGAAATAAAAATAAACTCGTTTCAGAGACATTTTCGTGAAAAGAGGAGAGAAAAAAACTCACGGCGGAAGCCGTAGACAATCCAGCCATTCGCCAGAACATCTTTCCGGCTGAAGAAAACCGTCGAATTGCTCGACAGAGATTCGGATCTTCGGAACCCTAACGAAACGAAAGAAGGGGACTCAAGTGGAAACAAGTAATCCGAACCCTAGAATCTGTCGAAGAAGAAAAAGAAATTGCAGGAATTGGAATCTGAGATTGGGATGTGAGCGAGGAAGAGCCACCTTCAATTGCGGGAGGGTAGTGACGACGACACACCCAAAATAAGAAAAATAATTTTTTTATACGTGGATATCTTTACAAATAAAGTTAATCTATTATATTAAAAGAGAAGTCATGACTCACTTCATGTGTGATTTTTTAGTTTATCTTAGAAATTTTATAAAAATTTACATTACATCATTATAATATCTTTTCATATCTTTAATTTTTATTTGAAATACAAATAAATAGTTTTAAGAAAATTCTAACAAATCTTTTAAAAATCTTTTAGAATCTTTTCAAGATATACAAAAATTATTTGATTAAAATTTTTAATTATCATAAAATATAATTAAAAGTTTTAATTTGTTTTTTATTTATATAACAAAATTAAAATTATGTGAACTACTTTTAACAATATCCCAAAATTTTGTTTATGTATTATGTATGTCCAACTTAATTTACCTTTTACATATATTTTAAATTTAGAAATAAAAGAAAATATATAAATTAGTAATGTTACATAATAATGTCTTTTAAAATTGTTACAAATATTATTATAAAATTTATATTAATAATATTATAAGCCACGTAAATATTATTATAAAACTGAATAGTATATATACTACAAATTATAATTAGTTATTGATAAATTTTACTCCCTCTATTTCTTAATATATGATGTTTTTGGATCATTAAAAAAAAGAAATTTATATTATTTTACAAAAGTATTTTTAAGGATAATTTTAAAATCATTCAACCAATTACTAAAAAAAGTAAAATTTTATTGGTTGAACAATTTACAATATAGTTAAAAGTAATCTTAAAACCTCAAGATACCCCCTAAAAATTTCAAAGCATCTTATATTTTGAAACAAAATAAATCTTTTAAAACATCTTCTAATTTTAAACGGATGGAATATTATATAATTTTACATATTTTCGTATTAAAATACCCGCACGGTTGTGAGGGTCGAGATCTAGTCTTATATATTAAAACAGAAGTCATGACTTGACTTCATGTGTGATTTTTTTAAAAATGGACTATTACTAGAAAGTTATGTTACATTAAATCTCTAATAATCTTATCATGTTACATTAACTCTCTAATAATCTTATGAAAAATTTATATCTATAATAATAAAGATACGTTTAACAATTTGGTTTGGGTAAATTATCCTACACCTTCCAATTTAGTCACGCAAAATATGTCAATAGATATAATTTTAGGAATCTTCTATTATTTATAAGGAAATATGCCAACAATAGTTAAATGCAGCCACAATATATTAACAAAAATCACGGATTCGTAATATGAAATATTTATATACCCAAACAAAATTTACATGCTATATATACTAGATAAATTTATTTCGACGTAAATTTTTAAAATGTTTTTTTAAATTGTTTAAAAAATTCTTTTTTAATACAATTCTTTATAATATTAATTTATATTATCTTTATAAATTAAAGTATACTAATATTTAATCAAGCTCTATTTATATTACTTTATTTAAAAATGAAATACTAATCTAACAAACAATAAAATATAGAAGAAGAAACAAATACATGTTTGAAAAACATGTATAATATATAAATTTAAAACAATCTATTTGATTAAAACACGTATTATATAATATTATTATGTTTGAAAAACATTTACTATACACATCGTAAATATGTGATTACTATAATATATATCAAGTGAAAACAAAATGTTTATATAATTAACTATAAACGAAAACAAACACCCGCGCGGTTGCGCGGGTCAAAATCTAGTCTATTATATTAAAATAGAAGTCACAACTCCACTTCATGTGTGATTTTTTTAACTTGGACCATCTTAAATTTTTTATTAAACTTGACATAACATAATTATAATATCTTATTATATCTTTAATTTTTATTTGAAATATAACTAAATATTTGAAAGAAGATCCTAACAAAATCTTTTAAAATCTTTTAGAATCTTTTTAAATATATTTTCCGAAATTAGTTAATTAAATTTTTAATTATCATAAAATATAATTAAAAATCTACTTCATTTTTAATTTATAAAAAATAAAAAATTCTGTAAAATGCTTTTATACAGCATTCTAAAAAATTTCGCTACTATGTAGGTTCAACTTAATTTAGTTTTCACATATATTTAACTATAGAAATAAAACAAAACATCATGTAAGTTCAAAATTATTAATTTTTAAATTTTATAATAATAATATTATAAGTCATACAAACACCATTATAAAGTAATAAAATATATAAAATCAAATTATATTAAATTAAATTATATTAATCTATTAGTAAATTTTATTGTATAGTACAAAATATTTTAGTATTCAAAAACCCGCACGGTCGTGCGGGTCAAAATCTAGTTAATTTGTTTAATTTTGCTATTTCCGTCCAAAGAAGTGGTCGATATTCAACCATAATAAGTTTGTTTTTTGTTATAAACAGACCACATTACTCTATGTTGACAAAATGGACCACATTTACATCTTGTACACCCATAACTAGAACTTAACCCATACAACTATTAGGGTATTTTTCATGTTTTAATGAAATAAATTTAAAAATAGTTTATGTTTTTATTTGTATTATATATGGTAATTTTTGTTCATATCGCTATTAAAATCTAAATATCTTTTACCATAATATGATTTATTTTTTATTTCATAAATTTTATGGTTGTCATTTTAGCTAATTAATTATAATATTTGTTATTTTATATTTGAAATAGAAAGAATATTTTTTTCTAACATAATATTTTTCAAATTTATTTTCAAAAATTAATCAGTTTAGATTGTACTTATCATTAGATATAACTAAAAATATTTTATATAATTTTAAATTTTTTATGTCAAAAACATTAATTTTAATTTCTAATTATACTTATGATGATTAGAATTTATGTTAGTTAGTTTTCGGAAATCATTTTAAAAGATTCTATAAAGATTTTTAAAAGATTTTTTAGATTTTAAAAAAAATATTATTATTTCAAATAAAAAGATAAGATATTAAAAGATCTTATAACTAAATTATGTAAAATTTGATAAAATTTCTAATAGATGGTTTAAAATCCAATATCACACATGAAAGAAGTAATGATTTCTATTTTAATAGTATAGATAACTAATTTTATTATAATTTTCGATTTCAAAACTTAGATTGTCGGTACCTACTCTACAGTAATGCTGATTGGAAACATTAAACCAAGAGGGCAAAGTGGGTATGGATAAGTAGTTGTAGTTCTAAAACTCAGTCCATTCAACGGTCGAAAACTAGCTCAAAACAATGATCTAACCATCGCAATTCGGTGATATGCATTAAAAAATTTACTATATTCAATTTACAAATTGAATAATCTACTTAAGAAATTTTTGACAAAAAAGTCATAAAACTGTTAAAATCGCTAGTCCTAGTCCCTACCGGTCACCTAGCAACAAGTTACTTTTACAAATCTACTTAAGAAATTTTTGATAAAAAAGAGACATATAAACCGTTAAAATCGCTAGTCCCTACCGGTCACCTAGCATCAAGTTACTTTTACAAAAGATCCATACGCATTACCGGTTAATATGACTTAACTGATCACCCACGCCTGACTCAGAAAACCTTGGTTAACTTTCCGAACATTAGTTAAATTCTATGTTCTAATAATCAGGTGTCTAGGCGCTAGGCAACCCTCTTTCGTCCTAATTTATGCCAAATCGCTGTAGAAAACCGGTCATCCAATTTTAGTCCACCTAGACCGCTTAGCCACCTAATCTATTTTTTTATTTTTTAATATAATTTTGTCTATTTATTTGATCTAAATTTTAATAAATATAATTTATAATTATAATTTTGATGAAAATTAAATCATATTAATTTTATATATTCTATTTGTGTGTTTTATAAGATTCTAAACATGAAAATGTTGTAATGTTATACACAGTTAAAAATTAACATATTTTATAACATATCAAATTGTCTAAAAATTCTGCCTCGTATAATCCTCGCTTAATCCCCGATTTTCTATCTAGGCGCTAGGTCCAACCGTGCCGCCCGCCTAGCGCCTAGCACGTTCCTGAACATGGGTTAAATTTAATCACCCGGTTCAACAAACCATCCAAATAGCCGGTTCAATCTGACGTTAGCCGATGATCCGAGCTCCTCCGAAGAAGCTCAAATCCTCAGACTGAGCTTCTTGGATCGAAACCCAAAACAATGGAGGAAGCCGATGGTTTAAGCTTCGATTTCAAGGGCGGTCTTGATTCCGCTCCCGTCCACCCCACAGCTTCAGTCCCGGTTGCTGCTCCCAAAAACTCATCCTCCGCCGCTGTTAACCTGACACCAAACTACGATCACTCCTCCGCGACGGTTTCCGGAGCTGGAAGAGGACGGAGTTTCCGTCAGACTGTTTGCAGGCACTGCCTTTGAGGTCTATGTATGAAAGGCGACGCCTGCAGGTTTCTTCATCAGTACGACAAGGCTCGTATGCCAATCTGCCAGTTCTTCCGGTTACACGGTGAATGTAGAGAGCAAGATTGTGTCTATAAACATACCAATGAAGGTATCAAAGAGTGCAACATGTATGTCTTGTTGTGTTGTGTTATGAAAGCTAATGGCTTCCACTTTGACACTGTATCTGATTTTTTGTTTGGTCTTGTGTTATGAAAACTATTAGTCTATGATATCCGATTTACTGGTTTAGTTAGTTTGTCTGGTTATTTAGCGGTTATTTACACTTGTATAGCTGACTATAAATACATGTAATTGTACATTTTAATCAATAAAAGAAATATTGAAATTATCATCTTTTTCTCTCCCAAGCAAGCTTGTACGTAATATGGTATCAAAGCTAATATTGAACTCGATCCTTTCATGATTTTATTTGCTTAAGCTCGTGTTACATATCTAATTAAGTTATGATGGTGTTTGTGAAGAAATTTCCTCGTTGATCGACCCGTATGCAACCCGCACAGCTCCGATGGCTTCTCCGGCGAAATCAGGTCCGGATCTTCAGGCCTCGCGAGCACTTGTCGGTGTTGACCTCACAGACTCGATTCATTCTCCGTACTATATGCATACTTCCGATCCGGGTTTGATTCTTATCTCTCTCAAACTTGATAGATCCAACTTTGGTGATTGGGAAGCTGCGATGAAGATAGCACTTGATGCGAAGAACAAAATCGGCTTTGTCGATGGATCGTTGCCTCGTCCTCTTGAATCAGATCTCAACTTTCGGATCTGGTCTCGTTGCAACAGCCTGGTTAAGTCCTGGATCCTTAACTCGGTATCGACTCAGATCTACCTTAGTATTCTTCGTTTGAGTGATGCTACTGATGTGTGGAACGATTTACACATGTCGCTTTCACATGATGACTTGCCTCAAACTTACAATCTCACACAGGAGATTCAGGATCTTCGTCAAGGATCTCTTTCACTCTCCGACTACTACACAAAGCTGAAAACATTGTGGAGCAAATTGGAAAATTGTGAAGAGCCAGACGATCCCTGTACGAGTGGAAAAGCACTTTGTCTTCAACAAAAAGCTGAACGTACAGATTGTGAAGTTCTTAGCTGGACTAAACGAGTCGTATGTTGTGACTCTGCCTTCTCTAAGTGAAGTTTATAACATTTTGGACCAAGATCACAGCCAGAAGAGCTTCGCTACAACGGTCTCTTCTGCTGCATTCCAGGTCTCTGAGGCTCCTCCTTCACCGCAGAATACCACGAGTGTTTGCTATGTCCAATCTGGTGCTCACAAAGGGAAGCCAATTTGTTCATTCTGTACCAAAGTTGGTCATATTGCTGAACGTTGTTACAAGAAACATGGCATTCCTCCGGGTTATGGTACAAGAGGAAAGGCACCTGATAAGTTTCAGAAATCGTCTTCTGGAACTACACAAGTCAATCTCTCTGCTAAGACTGATGACAAGTCTGCTCATCTTGACAACTTGATTGACAATCTTTCTAAAGATCAAATCCAGTAGTTTATTGCTCTGTTTAGCTCTCAGCTTCAGAACAATACGCACATCAACTCCTCTGGTACCGGTGAAGCTTCCTCGTCAGCAACCTACTGAGATGTCGGGTATCAACTTCTCCCAATCAACTTTTTGTTTCATTGGCATTCTCACATTTTCACGTAACATGCTAAATAAAGGTTCTTGGATTCTTGACTCTGGTGCTACACATCATGTGTCTCATGACAAAGAATTGTTTGTCTCATCGGACACAAACATTACAAGTTCTGTGAATCTTCCTAATGGTTCCATGATCAGAATCAGTGGTGTTGGAAGCATACAGTTGAATAAACACATTCTTCTCAAGAATTTTCTGTTTATTCCAGAGTTTCGCTTAAACCTCATCAGCATAAGCTCGCTGACGACTGACCTTGGTTCCAGAGTCATGTTTGATTTCTCTATACAGGATCGTACCAATGACTTGATGATTGGTCAGGGTAGAAGGATTGGAAACCTGTATGTGCTGGATGTCAATGATGCTCTGTTCGAGTGAATGCAGTGGTATATGTTGGTACTTGGCACAACAGGATGGGTTATGCATCCTACGCAAGACTCGACTTGATCTCGGATACTTTGGGAACAACAAGGCAGAAGAATAAACACAATTTCTATTGTCATATATGCCATTTAGCTAAGAAGAAGAAACTCTCTTTTCCATCTCCAAACAACATATGTAAATCAAACTTTGAGCTTTTGCATATTGATGTTTGGGGACCTTTCTTTGTTGAGAAAATGAATGGTTATAAGTATTTCTTAACTATTGTCGATGATCACCCGCGAGCAACTTGGGTTTATTTACTACGTACTAAAGATGAAGTAATCAAGGTGTTTCCTGCATTCGTAACTCAAGTTGAAAACCAGTACAGAATGAGTGTTAAAGCTGTTAGATCAGATAATTCACCAGAGTTAAAATTCTCAGAGTTTTTCCAAACCAAAGGCATTGTTTCTTATCACTCGTGTCCCGAGACTCCTGAGCAAAACTCTGTGGTAGAACGCAGGCATCAACACCTTCTGAATATTGCCAGAGCTTTCATGTTTCAGTCTCAACTTCCGCTAGCTTATTGGGGTGACAGTGTCTTGACTGCAGTTTTTGTGATCAACCGCACACCATCTCCACTTCTTGGCAACAAAACTCCATATGAAATTCTTACTGGTAAAATAGTTGTGTATGATCAGATGAGAACATTTGGTTGCTTGTGCTACGGCTCTACATCTCCTAAACAAAGACATAAGTTCCAACCAAGGTCAAAAGCTTGTGTCTTCTTGGGGTATCCGACTGGTGTGAAAGGCTACATGATGTTGGATTTGGAAACTCATCGTATCTCAGTCTACAGAAATGTCATATTTCATGAGGATGTCTTTCCCTTGGTTACTACTCCGATGAATGACGAAGTTCTTCAACTATTCACACCATCTTCTTCGACTTTGTCCTCAGGTAACTCACCACACATATCACCATCACCAGAAAATTCTCCATCTTCTTCTCTACCACCACAAATTTCTTCTCGGATTCGAAAATAACCTGCACATTTGCAAGATTATCATTGTTACAACTTGACTTCAAACATCACTTATCCCATTTCCTCTTATCTCTCTTATTCAAAACTCTCTCCATTTTATTCATCTTATATCAACAATATCACTAAAATCCCAATCTCTCAATCATATTCTGAGGCAAAGGACTCTAAAGAGTGGTGTGAAGCAGTTGATGAGGAATTTAAGGAAGCAACTAATACGTGGGAAGTTACTACTCTACCAACTGGGAAGAAAGCAATGGGGAGTAAAGTGTTGTATTCATTGAAGTTCAATGCTGATGGTAGTCTAGAACGACCAAAGGTCCGTGTGGTTGCCAAAGGTTTCACTCAAAAGGAAGGGTTAGACTTTACAGAGACATTCTCTCATGTTTCCAAACTTACTGTGCGGTTCTTGTTGAAAGTAGCAGCGTCTAGGAATTGGTTTCTGCGTCAACTAGACATCTCCAATGCTTTCTTAAATGGAGAACTGGATGAAGAAATCTACATGAAGATTTCTGATGGATATGCTGAGAGAAAGGGTCTTACATTGTCTAAAAGTGATGTCTTTCGGCTCAAGAAATCTATTTATGGGTTGAAGCAGGCTTCTCAACAATGGTTCCTTAAGTTCTCAGCTGCTCTGCTTCGTTTGGGTTTCTCACGAGGTACAGGAGATCATACACTTTTTGTCAAGACTTTGACTGATGCTCCACGAACACCTCACTGGACTGCTGCTCATCGGGTCTTACAGTATATCAAAGGCACCGTGGGTCAAGGATTGTATTACACTGCTTCTCCAGATTTAACCTAGAAATGTTTTGCTGATGCATACTGGTCTTCTTGTCGGGATAGCAGGCGTTCTACAACAGGCATTTCCATGTTTCTTGGTGACTCCCTCATTTCTTGGAAATCAAACAAGCAGGATACAGTTTCTTGCTCCTCTGCCGAAGCTGAATACCGTGCTCTCTCTAATGCCTCCAAGGAAATGATTTGGCTCATCAAACTCATGCATGACCTGAAGGTACCTCGTGACCCTACTCCGATTTTGTTCTCGGATAGTACTGCAGCTATCTATATTGCCACAAACCCCATGTTCCACGAGCGAAGTAAACACATTGAAAATGATTGTCACTTTGTGCGTGACTGGCTGGATAGAAAGGTCATCAAGACTCTTCATGTTTGTATGGCCAATCAAGTAGCTGAAATTATGACTAAACCTCTGTTTCCTTATCAGTTCAAGCACCTTATGTCCAAGATGAGCCTTATTAATATCTTTGAAAGCTCATTTTTAAGGGGCCTATTAATCTATGATATCCGGTTTACTGGTTAGTTAATTAGTCTGGTTATTTACACTTCTATAGCTGACTATAAATACATGTAATTGTACATTTTAATTGTACATGTAATTATACATTTTAATCAATAAGACCAAACTAAGACCCAAACAAGCTACTCCGATATTATCTTCTTCTTCTCTCCCAAGCAAGCTTGTATGTAATGGGTTTTACTTTATGCGGTGAATGAGTTTGTGTTTGGTTCTTGGTTTGGTCTTGTTGTGTTATGAAAGCTAATTTCTACTCGATGCAGTGAATAAGTTTGTGTTTGGGTCTTAGTTTGGTTTTGCTGTGTTATGAAAGATAATGGGTTATGTCTACTCTATGCATTTGGTTCTTGGTTTGGTCTTGTTGTGTTATGAAAGCTAATGGGTTCTATCTACTCTATTCTATGAATAATATTGTGTTTGGTTCTAAGTTTGGTCTTGTTGTGTTGACAGGTACAAGCTGGGGTTTTGTCCGAATGGTCCTGACTGTCGGTACAGGCATGCGAAGCCACCTGGACCTCCACCTCCAGTTGAGGAAGTTCTTCAGAAGATACAGCAACTGACTTCTTACAATCATGGGACTAATAGGGTTCTATCAGCCACGGAACTTTGCTCCACAGTTGGGAGATGTTAAGCCTCAGGTGCAAGTTCAGACGCAGGGACAGCCACAAGAGTCAGGTAACTTACAGCAACCACAACATCAGGTCAGCCAGACTCAGACACAAAACCCTGCTGAACAAACATCATACGCTCACCCTTTGCCTCGAGGGGTAAATAGGTATGTTCAGAGTCCCAAGGTTTTTAATTGGCTTGTGTGAACTATTTGTTTCTGTACATCTATCAAAACATTGGTTTCTTATAAGAGTGAACAGATACATATACTTTATATATACAAATACAAATGTAGCTTTTTGCAAGCTCAGAAATTTTTTTTAAAAAAAATTTATATATACAGATTTAACTAAATGTTATATTTTCGACCTGATGTTAGGATACTCTTCTTTGAAAGTTTTGTAAATTTAGAGATTTGCATTTTGATTTTTCTTGTACTATTATTAGTCTCCTCTTTCCATCAGTTCCCCTTCTTCCTCCATGTTAGGATTTGCAAATGGTAGCATATCCATATACTGTTTCATTCATAGTTGATATAGTTCGGTAAGATCTATTCAGAAGCATACTGGAAACTTTAGAACCATTATCTTTTGCTTAGTGCTCTGGCTTATTAGTTTAGTAGGAATCCTGCGACCGGAAGAATCATGTTTTGTTTTGTTGTTTCAGGTTTACAAATTATACTAACAAACATTCAGTGGCTAGAGGTATAATGATTATGATGTGAGCTGTTATGATTACTGCTAAAAGAGGTCCACAATATGGAGGTTTCATCTTTCTGTTTTTAGCTGAATAATAACTTGTTGGTCTCTCTGCTTGCTTGTGTGGAATAGTCTCACTTGCTAACTTTTGGCATAACATCTTGCTGAACTATTGTGCTTGCAGTTGTACATTATGCAATTGTATCAGCCTTTATTTGAAAGAACGTTCTTCCTTAATATGATGCCACTGAGAATTCTTTCGTAATTGGTCTCTTAGAGTTCATTGCCTCAGTCTGTGCATTTGTACATTAAGATTTTATTCAGATATTGACTGGAAACCTTGTGATTCATGTAGTAATATCTTCTGGATTCACATTCAGTTGATCTTGAATTCTTAAAACGTTATTTAGCATTTCATCTTTTGAAAATGCTTTACTTCGGTTATAGTCTGATGTAATTATGTGAACTCGTTAACTGTAGAGCTTCTGCTACATAATTAAGCTTCATCTGCCATATCTGATACTTTTTAAAAAACTTGGGTTCAGGTATTTTGTAGTAAAAAGTTGCAAGTTAGAAAATTTCGAGTTATCTGTGCAACGAGGAGTATGGGCTACACAAAGAAGCAATGAAGCGAAACTTAATGAGGCTTTTGACTCTGTGGCAAATGTGATCTTGATATTCTCTGTCAACTGGACACGGCATTTCCAGGTAGTTTTATTGGGCTAAACCAGAACCACTTTACTTATGTTGAAAGACTAATTAATTACCTTTCTTCATCTGTATCAATGGTTGCTTTCTATAATCTTCTTCATCCTAATTTTCTATTTGGTAGGCAGCCTTATGAGCCTAACTTTCTTTCTTTTCACATGGTACGTTAGGGCTGTGCTAAGATGACATCCAGAATTGGTGGTTACATTGGTAGAGAAAACTGGAAGCATGAGCATGAAACTGCACAGTTTGGCCGGAACTTTTCAGTTAAATGGTTAAAGGTATACTGTTTGCCTAAACTTTCCTTTGGTTAATATAGTTCTTCCTCTCAATCCGGGTTTAGTGTGCTTCTTTTTTATGCAATTGAACCTATATGGTCATGCAATTCTGGTCTATATTTTAATACAGAAGTCTCAGTCTTGCTTGAAATGTTAGTCTGTCCTTTTACACCACCGATCTTAATACACACCTTACCACTTCTTTTATTTCTCTATACTCTGTTCTGGTATCGGTTCTTTTATTGTTAATAATGAGCGAGTATATGGTACTGAGAGCTAATGGAGATGCTTACTTAACGTGATTTGCAGCATTAACATGACTTATCTGAGTGATTGTAATTCTCATCATTGTAGTTGTGCGAACTGTCCTTCCACAAAACTCGGAACTTGAGGAATCCTTATAATGAAAACTTACCTGTCAAGGTACGTGGAACTTTTCATCATTATTTACGCTAACATAGCTGGTCTCTTATTTGGGAGCAGTATCGTTTTATAGATACACTGGCTGCAGTGGGTAAATTGTCCCGTTGACCACACTTCCATCTTAGACTTAGTGATGCAGTGATCCAGTGATGATGAAGTATTAAGCTATTTGCTAATTTCGTTGCGTAATAATCACCTTTATCTTACTCTTTTGGTTCAATGACTGTAGATAAGCAGAGATTGTCAGGAGTTGGTCCTTTTACACCACCGATCTCAATGTATGAACTTAAATTCGGTGATGTTGAAGATTTCTTTTTGAATCATAAAAGTGATAAAATTTGTCGCCACCATATCTGTATGATACTCTGGGTGTAAAGTGCGTAACCAAAAGTATAAAATGAAGCTAACTATAACAACAAAATTTGAAAGAACTATAGCTCGCAGGAATATCCGATTCAATCATTTTCAACAAAATGGAATTATCTGTACTACAAGGTTAAAATTATATATAAACTGTAAAAAAATATATAGAGAGGAGAGGTTGGGAGAGGAAAAAAAGCTGACCTTGAAAAAGGGCAGGGTCTTTGATATTTTGGTGGGTAAAGAAGAAAAAAAATATGAAACTAAGTAAACAGAGTTACAACATCCCTGTGATACCCTCTCACGATCAACATCCTTGGAACATTCTCCACCAGCAAATCCATATACTCCATGTAGAAATACGCCGGGTGGTTCAACGGAGGTGGAGGGAGACTAACCAGTACCACCGCGGCCATCCTCGAGTAACTGAGTATGGTCGAGTTCAGTTTCAACATCGTATACAGAAACTTCTCCACTTGTTGCTCATTCACCACCATCGCTTTCCCATTCGCCAACCGAGGAGTCGAACCTTGACTCTTTATCTCTCCCAAGTAATCTGAGATCCGTCTCTGTGCAGCATCAAACGCTTCTAACGAATCTTCTTTGCTGTTTCCTTCTGATCTTATGTCCCATGATTTCATCGTCACCACGATTACTTCCGCTTGCATTCTCAGGTCGTAAAGGAACTTCTTCACGTCTGCTTTTAGTGCTTCCGCGTCTGAATCCTCTTCAGCTATGCAGAAGAGTTGGATCTTGCAGCTTTCGAAGCTTTCTTTTGTCAGAAGAAGCTGCGAGAGGAGAAGCATGAGACCGCCGTCTCTCACGATCCAATACAAGTCGATTGTTCCGTACTGTCTTTGGTACTCGTTGGGCCATTCGTCTAACCCTTTGATGATGACAACTGCTTTGTTTGCTGTGATGCAGTCGTTGATTATCCCAACGAATGTGGATGGAATCTCTGTTAGATTTTCACGGCGCCAGATCTCAGGGTACCGCATTACCACGATGTTGGGTTTGAGATTCCCGAGTCCCATCGTCTGGATGATCCCACGGAACCCTTCCGTCATGTTTGGGGCTACAACGATTTCAGCTACACCTTCACAACGCTTGTATTCTATGTAGGTGGCTAGTTTATTGCAGGCTTCCTTTGCTTCTTCAGCACATTCATAGTAGTCACCATCTAGTATGTCCACAAAGATGGACATTCCACGACCTTTTTTCTTCATACAGTTGGCAAAATCAGCCAGCTTAGGGTGGCACGGAACATTCTCTGGGAGCTGTCCCCATGGTCTGCAGAAAACAAGAGGAATTGGATACCAGTTCTTGGGGTGCACTTGATTCGCTGCAATTAGGAGAGAAGATAGTGCATGAGAAAAGTTAAGATAAATGGACCATCTCATATTTAAACCATAAAGGTAAGGCAGGTTCGGTGTAACAACAGAGAGAGAATGTATATTATGCAACCCGTTTGGTGAAATGACACTTATGTGGCTTACCTCCGAGTGACCTGAGACTACGAAGGGCCAGCTGAAAATATGCACTCTTGAAACCATCTCCCCAGTCCCCGGCCTTTCCTTTTAGCCCAACGTATTTGTATATAAGACTTGCAAGAGCAATGGCAACCACAGTGAAAGACCAAGAAATCAAAAACATGATCACTGCAACCATAGAAAAAAAAAGGAAAAATCAACATGAGTCTCGTAATAGAATCAATTTGAATTGTTATATAGTAATGAAATGCAAAGGAAGAATGCACAAAAGATATCTTCTCCATCGATTTTTTTTGAAAATTCATACCTATGCAAAGTGCAGCGCCGACAAAGGAAAGGCTCCAATGATGATATTTCCACCGTGGACGCCAACTTGGAGCATCAAGAAGATCGAGCAGGAAACAAGACAAGTTTACACCCGAATAACATAAAAGATAGAACATAGTCACAGTCGGTGTGATAAGATCAAGATTTCCAATAACAACACATCCCACGCAGATCAATGCTGTGAAAAGCGTAGCTATGTGAGGTTCACTTGTATCTGCAACTTTGAAATAATTCAGGATGGGGAGAATATCATCATTTGCTATAGCAGCAAGTAGCCTAGGGGCCCCTGTCAAACTCTGGAGAGCAGCCCCTAAGGTTGAAAGGATGATTCCAACATGAACAATGACAGGCCAAGGCCAAGCAACTGTAGCAGTAAGTAGCCTGCAATAATGGAAATTAATTCATTGCATGTATACACCATGATATAAGCTAGGTGTTTCAGTGCTAGAAGAACAAGTCTCAGTGAGCAGTATGAACATAAATATTCTATCCTGACATAAACTAAGAAAATTATAGCTTTTATAGGCCCCTAATGACGTTACGTAGTATATTCAGAACTTGAATTCCTTTCTAATTTCTTTCAAATCATATGATAAAGATAAGAAACTGCAAGTGATAAGTGGGAATAGTTTTTGAATTTCCTCCAGGACATTTAACAAGATATAACAGATCAGCTGTAGAACATAAAAAAGGTAAACCAAACGAGGAGTAAACAAAGTTACCTATCAGTCAAAAGTTTGTCACGGGTCGCAACAGCTCCAAAAAACAACACAGAGATCACATACAGTGAGGTAGTAGTCAGAGTAGCAGCCAACGTTCCAACAGGAATTGATCTTTGTGTGTCTTTCAGAGAAGCTGATCGATTCGAACCAGCCATGATTCCTGTTACCGCAGGGAAAAATAGACCCACCAACTCACTGAAAATAAAACAAACAAAGAGACGTGTAAATATATTTCAGACTAAAATTTGAGCAAATAAACTTAAAACCAAAACAAGAGTTTTACTATCACAGGCAACACTATTCCTGAAAGTGACTCACTTGAAACTCCAGTATGTGCCTCCAGTTGGATCAGGAATTCCCGCATCATTTGTCATCTGATAAGCAGAATTCCAGTTATCTCTAAAACTTTTAAAACGCAAGCCCGTAATTCCAGCTGGACCGATCATAACAGGGGAACAAAGTGGAGGTTAACAATTTGGGAAAAAAATATTCCTCAACCTTATTTCTAACCATATTCAGAAACGACTTACCGTCAGGATCATCTGTCTTTGCCAAAAACATCCCGATGAATATGCAGAAGATAGAGAGCAAAACCGGTATTAGGAACGCAGGTGCAACCCGATTAATCATCTTAACGCCGCCAAACACAATGAAGCATAGAAGGATAGTCACAATAATTCCATAAATCTGCAAGTCATGTGAGTTTGGGCTTTGTATTGGTTCTGCAATTGCTGTTCCATTCACCTTCGTGATAGTTTCTGCCATAAGAAATGAAGCACAGCTAAATCACTAAATGCGACTTATTGGCTGTAGATTATGTCCTCAGGGAAAACAAGTAACGTTTTTAAAAAAAAAAAACAGAACTCAGAAGTTGGTAGGCAATAAAATAGTTCCTGCAAATCCTGGATAGCATATACGCTTTGCCACTTCCAACAATTGATGAAACAAGTATTTGGCGTCAGGACTAGCATGATAAATTAGTGCCTAAAACTGACAGATTACTAAAGAGTTATTAGATGCCCTAGTAGCCCTTTGTTTTGGTTCCAGGTTTCAATTCTTACAAGTTCCACAGTAATACCTCTAAAAATTCCAGCAGCCGGGAACGCTTTTAGAAAAGTCTCCACAGCACCCAAAACGTACCTACAGTTATAAAGAGACAAATAGTTACTACAAGCACTTGGAGGCCATGTGAAACTAAAGAGTGCACCAGCAACTCAAAAGAATGGGTGTTGGTCTTAAGACTTTCTGCAAAAGAGTTTCTTCAAAGGATCCAGAATTTACACTTACAGAGCTCCAGCAACTGCATTGCCAAGGAAGAAGCATAAACCTATGCTAATCCCAACCTCCGGACCAAGAGCACGACCAATGAGGTAATATGGTCCACCACCCTGGAAGTAATGCAAAGTTTAATTGCAGTATAAACTGAAGTCCTGACTATTGTTCATCACAAAAGAAAGAGAAAAGTAATAGGGGTGCCAACTATGGACCAGAGACCCAATGCACGGAAGGCTACTTTTAACTACAGTTAAGAAAAATCGGGTGATATAACATAAAAAAATAAGAATTACCTTCATTGCGCCATTTGTCGCAATAGCACTCAAAGATATTGTCGTCAAGAATGTACATAATCCACAGAGCAATACCAATACTAGGCTTTGTCCAATACCAGCCATGCCAACAATCCTGAAAATTGAACAGCTTAAGACCAGCCATGATGACTTTGCAGACTGGTGTGCAACATCAAGGACTTTGCAGTCTTACCATGTGAAACGGATGTAGTATATAATTCCTAATATGTTTTGTAAGCAGGGAACGAAAACTCCCATCATTGTACCCATCTTGAGAGCAGGCTACAAAAAACATGCAGATATAGTAACATCGGGAAAACCATAAATGCAGCGATGGATGAAAACAGCCAGACTATAATACCTAAGAAAACATCAATTTTGCAGCACCATAATAGACAGAGTCAACAACAGAACAATGAAGGATATTTTCAGACGAAGGAAAACAATCTAATCATCCTGAAACAAAGATTGCCAAACAGAAAGCAGTAAAACAATCAGATAAAGGAAGGCGACCTTTGAAATCTAACAGATTAGACTTCAATACAGAAAATGGTAACCAATCTTACGTCTAAAATTGTATACAAACGTTTCCAAACAAAGGAGATGAAATTGGAGGAGACAAGGGGTAACTCTAGTGCATGACACTTGATACCTTTGGGTGCCCTTGCGTGATAGAGATATCCTCCCCATCTCTAGGGCTAGATGGCGCTGCAACTTGCTCCCCCGTCATACTGAAAGGACATATTAATCACATTTAAAATTAAGAGAATGTGTTTGTCAAAGAAAATGACATATCTTTTCTGCTGCTGACTAACTAAGATTAACGTGTAATTAAAGGTAAAATATGCATTT